TCAGTTCTCCTAATCAATGCAATAATCACTTCTACCTCTCTCACAGGCCCTGAAGCGTTGCTCGCTGTTTGCTGAGCATTTCTTTCATCTGCTGTCAATCCGCATGGGGCTCGGAGGGGAAGGGGAGCAGAGAAAAAGATAGCGGTTTGTTTTAGTGCGTGAGAAAGGGTGTGTTTGTTTGAATGAATGTTTGGGAACAACTGAAAGAGTTTGTTCTCTGGGCGGAAGATTGAGAACCATTAAGTCATATCATTGCTCTTGTACAGATGACCCACCCCCCTTTAATTACCTCATTAATGTTTCATCCCCATTAATGATGTTTGAAGATGATCTCTAGAGTAAACTAATGCAAAAGACGAATGAAGGAGGAGAGGAATGAGGGGTGTAACTTTGAGATCAGACATGGAAGACCCATTTCCTCTCAAAGCACATTAAGCAGGATGTTTTAATGGAGATTTCCCGGCTATGAAACATTTCCATTTTATGAAAAGTTTTTCAAATGGAAAGTATAAATTTCAGGATCCCTACTGGCCCTTTCCAGTTCATTGTTACCTCATTCACCTCCATGACACGGGGAAGGGGAGCAGAGAAAAAGATAGCGGTTTGTTTTAGTGCGTGAGAAAGGGTGTGTTTGTTTGAATGAATGTTTGGGAACAACTGAAAGAGTTTGTTCTCTGGGCGGAAGATTGAGAACCATTAAGTCATATCATTGCTCTTGTACAGATGACCCACCCCCCTTTAATTACCTCATTAATGTTTCATCCCCATTAATGATGTTTGAAGATGATCTCTAGAGTAAACTAATGCAAAAGACGAATGAAGGAGGAGAGGAATGAGGGGTGTAACTTTGAGATCAGACATGGAGGACACATTTCCTCTCAAAGCACATTAAGCAGGATGTTTTAATAGAGATTTCCGGCTATGAAACATTTCCATTTTATGAAAAGTTTTTCAAATGGAAAGTATAAATTTCAGGATCCCTACTGGCCCTTTCCAGTTCATTGTTACCTCATTCACCTCCATGACACTTTTTTTTAGGTTGCTTAGAGTACCAACTATCAGCATTTTGTGGACAAAGTGCTCCAGGACTATGCTCCAGGACTATGAGGATAAAGTGTCTATTCTATTTCATTTAGTAGGGCAGTGTCCATAACAGGACATTTTAGCACTGTAAAGTATTTGAGAGCCAGATATAAATGATGGTATTTCAAACTGCTGTTAGCGAACATCTCAACTCCTGCCAGCAGATGTTTCGCAATCTTCCTGTGACTCCAAAACAGTTCACAGGCAGTGATAAGGAAGAACGTATTGCACAATAATCAATGTCATGTTGAGATGGGTGGGTTTGCAACATCAAGTAAACGGCTAGCAAGAATGGACCATTTCATTACTGTAGATGTCTGCTTCTGCTGCCCCACGTTGTGTGAAAGACTCATTTCTCTTGTCGGGGCAATCGCCATGAGCACGAAAAGTCCAATGCTCATTCCTCTCTCTCTGTGACAGCTGATGTATCGACTGTACTCATCTTTAGACCACCTTTTCCCTCTTTACACTTGAATGAAATGAATGAACTCATTCAGCATAAATACCGCTGAGAATGCAGTGTCTATCCTTAGCTGCTGCTTCGAAGTTTTTACAGCTAAACTTTTTAAAAAAAGATCAAGGATTGACATTTACAAAATATTGTGCTTTGGTGATCCCCCAAGTATCCTGAAGATGGCTCTGTCCGTGTCCCAGGATGCACTGTCCCTCCCGTCTCTTAACCTCACAAGGTCAAATTGACATTTAAATGTAAATTTTCTGCATATAATGCATAAATGGATCTGCTTATAGCTTCTATGAGCCATAATATACCAAGGATAGTTCACCCAAAAATGAACATTACCCCATGATTTACTCTCTCTCAAGCATCCTAGGTATATATACAGTGGGGCAAAAAAGTATTTAGTCAGCCACCAATTGTGCAAGTTCTCCCACTTAAAAAGATGAGAGAGGCCTGTAATTTTCATCATAGGTATACCTCAGCTATGAGAGACAAAATGAGAAAAGAAAATCCAGAAAATCACATTGTAGGATTTTTAAAGAATTAATTGGTAAATTCCTCGGTAAAATAAGTATTTGGTCACCTACAAACAAGCAAGATTTCTGGCTCTCCGGCTATGAAACATTTCCATTTTATGAAAAGTTTTTCAAATGGAAAGTATAAATTTCAGGATCCCTACTGGCCCTTTCCAGTTCATTGTTACCTCATTCACCTCCATGACACTTTTTTTTAGGTTGCTTAGAGTACCAACTATCAGCATTTTGTGGACAAAGTGCTCCAGGACTATGCTCCAGGACTATGAGGATAAAGTGTCTATTCTATTTCATTTAGTAGGGCAGTGTCCATAACAGGACATTTTAGCACTGTAAAGTATTTGAGAGCCAGATATAAATGATGGTATTTCAAACTGCTGTTAGCGAACATCTCAACTCCTGCCAGCAGATGTTTCGCAATCTTCCTGTGACTCCAAAACAGTTCACAGGCAGTGATAAGGAAGAACGTATTGCACAATAATCAATGTCATGTTGAGATGGGTGGGTTTGCAACATCAAGTAAACGGCTAGCAAGAATGGACCATTTCATTACTGTAGATGTCTGCTTCTGCTGCCCCACGTTGTGTGAAAGACTCATTTCTCTTGTCGGGGCAATCGCCATGAGCACGAAAAGTCCAATGCTCATTCCTCTCTCTCTGTGACAGCTGATGTATCGACTGTACTCATCTTTAGACCACCTTTTCCCTCTTTACACTTGAATGAAATGAATGAACTCATTCAGCATAAATACCGCTGAGAATGCAGTGTCTATCCTTAGCTGCTGCTTCGAAGTTTTTACAGCTAAACTTTTTTAAAAAAGATCAAGGATTGACATTTACAAAATATTGTGCTTTGGTGATCCCCCAAGCCAAGAATGGACCATTTCATTACTGTAGATGTCTGCTTCTGCTGCCCCACGTTGTGTGAAAGACTCATTTCTCTTGTCGGGGCAATCGCCATGAGCACGAAAAGTCCAATGCTCATTCCTCTCTGTCTGTGACAGCTGATGTATCGACTGTACTCATCTTTAGACCACCTTTTCCCTCTTTACACTTGAATGAAATTAATGAACTCATTCAGCATAAATACCGCTGAGAATGCAGTGTCTATCCTTAGCTGCTGCTTCGAAGTTTTTACAGCTAAACTTTTTAAAAAAAGATCAAGGATTGACATTTACAAAATATTGTGCTTTGGTGATCCCCCAAGTATGAAAATTACAGGCCTCTCTCATCTTTTTAAGTGGGAGAACTTGCACAATTGGTGGCTGACTAAATACTTTTTTGCCCCACTGTAACTTTATTCTTTTAGACAAATACAATCGGAGTTATATTAAAAATGCCCTGACTCCTTCAAGCTTTAATAATGGCAGTGAATGGGGGTCGAGATTTTGAAGCCCAAAAAAGTGCATGGCGTTCCAGCGGATGCCTTAGGACGTAGGCCTAAGCATAAGTGACGAACACGGAAGCACAGAGGAGAGAGCAAAATAAAACCCCAGTCATGAACTAGAAGTACAAAATGAGGATTTGTAAAGAGAAATGTTGGAGGATTTCGATATACATAAGTGGCCAAAATGATTAGAACACTTGGCATATTTAAGAGGTTTCAGTTGTTTTCGTTGAATTGGCGATTACATTACCCATTAAACGAACTATTGCCGGAACTACCTGCGACGGAAGGAATCTGCTGGAACATTGAAAATGATTGATTGGCCCCCTCAAAATCCGGACCTCAACCCCATCGAGCAAATTTGGGGTGAGTTGGAAAATAAACTGGATCTATTGTACATTCAAAGGAAAGCCTTTGGCTTGAGTTGCAGAAGGCATGGGATAACATTAGTGTTGAAGTTCTCAGGAAATAGGCCCTATATTGATACTATGCCAGAGAGATGTGTAGCTGTAATTGCTGCAAAAGGTGGCCATACCAAATATTAAAGTTAAAAGTGGATAAAAACAGTACAACTCACTTCATCCAGTATTTTTTGTGCTCCGAGCAACCATCTGCATGTTTGATGAACATTATTAAATGAAATCATGTTTTAGAGGCAAAAAGGTCAATATTTTCAGATCTGTCAGGTGTTCTAATAATTTTGGCTAGCACTGTAAGCCAAGAGGAGACTGGTTTTCCTTTGCTGTAAACAAAACGGTTCTTGTGAGACTGGCATATTCTCAACAGAGCTTACACTATGATTACTTCATACATCATCCACTGGAACGCTACGAACATGTGTACGACAGTTGCAGAAGCTAGAGATTTAAATATGGATATTTTTCGTACATAAATGCATCACTTTGCTGATTTCCTTTATTAACCCCTCTGAGCCGTGTGGAACACTTTTTATGATGGATGGATGCACTTTTTTGGGATTCAAATCTTGACCCCCATTCACTGCCATTATAAAGCTTGAAAGAGCCAGGACATTTTTTTATATAACTTTGTATTCGTCTGAAGGAAGAAAGTCATATACACCTAGGATTGCTTGTGGTGAGTAAATCATGGGGTAATTTTCAGTTTTGGGTGAACTATCCCTTTAAGTTTGATAATAGGAGTCTACCTGTTTCCTCACCCCTTCACAATTTTATAGAAATTTTATATAAATAATTGCATCCATGATCCTCCTCTAAATTCAATTAAGTGTAGCTGAAAGCTGCTCCCCACTGCACTCAATTGCACAAGACTTCAGAGACGTGTAAATGTGTGATATATACAGATGTATGATTTTACCAAGTGGGAGGATAGGACATTGTACAATACATTAGTCTGATGTATTGGTGACGCCTTTAAAAGGTTTTGAATGGGGTTCATTTATCAGAGCTTTATAGCTGAGTGGGATCTTTCCAACTGCTAAGAGACTTTTCATATCTATATATATTTATTTCTGAATGCTTCAATATGTTCTATTTCTCTGTCTCTCTCCCTTTTTTCAGCGTAAAGATGGTGCTTTTATGGACGGCTGGTGACATCTTTAAGACCACGTATTTCGTGATCAATGAAAGCCCCACCCAGTTCGGGGTCTGTGGTGCAGTACAGATCTTAATGGACATTGCCATTCTGCTCCAGGTGGGCTACTACAGCCAGGACACCAGAATCAAACTGGGCTGAGATCACTACAATAATGATGGTGATCAACACTCCTAAATTAGGACGTTCTACGTGCTACTTGCCTGCAAAACTACATGATTTTACTTTTTCCAAAAAAATATTTTTAATACACAGTGGGGTTCAAAAGTCTGAAACTGCTTGAGAAAATAGTTCTATTTTGCTTTTCTCTCATTTAATATAACTTATTTATTTAATGTTACAATTTAATGTTTATATTTAATAATATACTTTTTTTATCTAATGTTTTTATTAGAAAGTGCCTTATTTGCATGACAAGTTGAGTGAAAAGTTACATTGAAAATGTTAATTTATTTGGAGGGGAAAAAAATTAGTTGTATTAGTTTGATTAGTTGCAATACTACTTGGTTTTAATTTTTTTAAATCCTAAAACGTCTATTAAATTTATTTTTAATTTGATTTGATTTTGCATCCCAGATTTTCAATGTGGTTTCAGTCTGTTGAACCCTGCTGGATAATTTTTTCAAATTCGACAAATGCATCTGAGTTCAGGGATTTTATTTTTATTTTTTATTTTTTGGGGGGCTTCTGTCCGTTATTCACGTCTTACCAAACAGCAAGTTTTTCCATTCAAAGAAGAGTGAACAGGCCTTATATGCACCGGCTGGACATCATTATACCTCAAGAAATCAACCAAGAAAAAAAAAAAACATTTAACTCCAGCCAACATATTCACTTACAAGCTGACAAATGAATGCCCCTTCACTTTGTTATTTTTAGATTATTTGTATTTTTGCTAGCTTTTGTGAGCGCCGATATGCTCTTAGTGCAATTTAAGTGCTGGGAAATGCATGTGCCAAATGTATCTGCCACAACTTGGATTCAAACTGCTAGCTCATTTTTTAACAATGTGTGTTCCTTTTTCATTTTAAAGCACTTAAATCATTGTTACTTGCATAGTTGTACACAAAAATCCATATTTTAAGCAGCAGATTAATGTTATACTTTTAAATCTAAGCCTTTGAGTTAAAACTATTTGCTGATGAATGATTACCTAACTTTAATTACCAAACCGTATCAGTGGAAATGCATGAGGCTATGCCATAAATATATAATGCACAACTGATTTATCATATATGAATGCAATGCAAATGTGAAAAACGGACAGATTTGTTCTGTTAAGTTATCAAGGATCAATAGTCCCTTTTCCCATTAATTTCAGGTAATTTCAGTTTACTATTAGTGCCAGTGTTTTGTAAAAGAAGTATTTTTATCCAGGGTTTTTGATTTAGAAAATTGAAATGTGTAATATTCCAATGAAAAAGCAGTTGCCGTTTATAGTAACCACACAAAGCCAATGATGGACATCTCTGGGCCATTGGGTTCATAGTCTACGATGTCCTTTAAGGATGACAATGAATACCTCAACCAGTCATATGTCATCCATGTTTATCCATGCATGTCACACCAAGATGAAGGTCAGCCTGCCCACAAAAATTGACATTTGGACTGTTTTTATGTTTAAGTTGATGGGACTGGCGAGAAAAAAAATGCTGTCGCCTCAACTCGGTTGCTTCTGCGGTTGATCAGATATGAGGAGACCTCATCATAAAATAGTTCCACTCTATTAAGTTACCATTCACACCAGCACTGAGTTATGTGCTATTTATCACTGCAAAGAGACGGTCACTATAACTTTAAATCCCACTATAGCACCAGGCTGCTCAGGGAGGACTACAGATGTGGCCTTAGAAAAGCATTTTCAGATTCCATCTCAGTTTTGGCTCTCTTTCTACCTCCCTGCCCATGTTTAACCATAGGGATTTCAACATGTCCATGGACTGTTTAAGCCCGTTGGCTGCTTTAGCGTTAGTTGATCGTCAAAGTTTAGCCGTTGGTTATTAGAGATGGTCACAAAGCCTCAGCTGTTTACTCCCTGCATGGGCATCTTTATTGGCTTTAGCTCTCATTGTGCTAAGACTTTGTGTGTGGTAAATATTTGTTCTGTTGTGCTGTTAACCGACATATCAACATATCTGACCCCAGCAAAGGTCAAAGCCACCAACAAATTTAGTCACAGGATGACTATGTGTGAGCCCACTCTCTTCCAAGTAAAAAATACATTGCATTAATGCTGTTCTATGCAATACACATGTTTGAATATCATATGGAAATATATACTTTTTTACATTTTAAGTTAATATTGATTGATAAGTGTACGTTGAAAAGTTCCATTCAAAAGTTTGGGGTCCTTTTTTTTTTTTTTTTTTTGGTTAAAGGGGTGGTTCATTGCGATTTCACTTTTTTAACGTTACACGTAAACAATTAACCCAACCGCGGGGTCAAAACAGCCCAATTGTTGGGTTTGTCCCTATTTTACCCAG